GTCCCATATCATAGGTGCGCGCGAATCCCGAGACTTACGGTCTCCGTCCCCGATTATGGCTCCTGATAGATATATAAAATATTTATATTCCCGTTATACCCGTGTAGTGTATAAGGGGTGGAACTTCCAGTGTGTTTGAAACGTCATATGACCCTTAAAACACTTAAAACTACAATGTACAACTACATAATTTGACCGAATTTTCAATAAACATGTTTTGGATGATACACGATCTATTTGTTCCATTTTATAGGTGTGCAATTGAACTAAATAACCAGGGGACTTCCTTGACCTCCTTTTTCTCTTCGGCGACTGGGACCGGCTCGATCGAGGCCTAGGAACCGGGAAGTGCGGGATTGCTATCAACGGAGTTAATGATTAACAAACTGTTTCGCGAAAAAAAGAGAAAAACAACCTCGAACAATGGCGATGTTAAAGCTCTCTCCTTTTATTTTGCTTGTTTTCTACAATGTCGCTGGTTGTAGTAGTGTGTACACCAACACATGGGCTGTCAAAATGCTTTGCTATGAACCTTGTGTTAGGTTAGAGGGATTGGCGCGCAAGCATGGATTCGAGAATTTAAGCCAGGTTAGTAGGAACTTACTCTTCATTACGCTGGTAAAGGAAGTCGTAGAATCTAGATCCTAACATCAACCTTCATTTTAAGTATTCTAGTTTCTACGATGTTATTTGTATTTTTTGTCAACGCTAATAACCTCCTGTATTATAGCGGAATGGAATAAACTGATGCTGCTGATCAGTGTCGAAAGGCTCCTGCTTATAATTGACTTGGGAGTGGGGAGAAGCCTTGCTGGGCTAAAAAGGGGGTTACAGCTATACTCATTCAAGTGAGATTTAGTTAAATTTTTGAAAAAACGTAAGTTTACATAAAGATATTGCTGAAACCTGTCTTAAAACCATTAATATCTCTTTGTGGCTGGCATAACACAAATTTCCTCAACAAAGTTTACATTGGCGTAGCAACCAAATCATTCAAATTTATATAATGATAAATTTCTGTTGCACATCAGTAAAGATATAAAACAAGAAGCCCAGCGAGTTTCAAAGATGGGCCTATAGGAGCTGTTAAACTGATCAGGGCGGTATATTTAGAACATACAACGGGCAACAAAATTCCACGACCGATCCCGTTTCGAAAATTTCAGAATTTTTGGTTGAAAGGAAAACGCTCCATGTTCGACCAATATGCCTCAGCTTTCAATTCGCAATTTTATCAGAAAATAGAACTGATCAGTCCTTGAATTGAAAGGTTCCAAACTGCATTTAACATGTAGTTATCAATAAAAGACCCATGATGAGGAGTTTCTTGCAACATCACAGCTTGGCTAATGAAAAAAAAAATTGGCTAGGAACATCTAAGTTGTCACTGGCCAACCTAGGCTAGTAAGTTGAAAAGTTAGTGTCAAGCCCTGTTAAAATCATCTCCAAATTTCATACAGTGGGTAACAATAATTGCTACACATATTTTCATGTTTCAATTAAGAAACAGAAAACATGTAAATGTTTCTACCGAGTTATAGAAACACGAGTGGAAGTTTGGGAGAACAAGAAATGGTGTGGGAACATGAGCCACAGGTGAATGTTTCAACTACTTTTTTGAGTTCTCCCAAACTTTCACAAGTGTTTCTATAACTCAATAGAAACACACAGTACAGAAAACGTGTTTCTGTTTCTTTTAGAAAATACTGCAATGAAAATAAGGAAAACAACTTGTTAACTTTGATCATCAAAATGTAAATTCTCTATGCTCGTGCCATCATTACGTCAACAGCAGCTCGTGCTAGTTCTGTGTTTCTATCAAGTTATAAAAACAGGATTTTTAACCAATCAGCGTGCTAATTTTCTTAGGGGTGTTTTCTAAGTGGTAAATAGACGTTGAGTAACACATTGCTAAAATGTAAGGTTTATAAAGAAGGATATGTTATCTGCCCAGTACTGCGATGACATCTACTGATGCACAGATGTACTGCAATTGGCAGTGTTCAAGAAACAAATACCAATGTTAGAAGTTGATACTGCAATAGCACAATAAAGAGATAGTGATTAGATTTGTCGACAATAGGAAATTTTCTCTTGACCAAAGCCCAGAATTTGATCTACTGTTTTGCGATTCACTATAAAACACCATATATGCAGTCTGCTGTATGCCAATTTGCCTGTTTTTTTATCTCATTCAATTCAATGAAGATGGTTGTGGATGGCTGTCATACCAAAATGCATGCTTTGGTTGTCAACTGCACAGCCTTGTCCGTTCATGATCAAGATAACAAAATGTGGGGCAATGGCAAATTGAAGGCTTTTGTGCAAAAGGGTGTATACAGCATTTTAGGCCGAATTTTATTTTTTGCAGGATCGAGCTAATTTTTGGCAGACTGACTTGTTTTGACATGAAAAGCACCGTTGCGTAATTGTTTTTGTTGATTTGTGCTTCGTTTTCTAGAAACAACGTATGCAAAAAAACTCAGTTCTCTGAGTGCCATCTTTTGGAGCAAATCCTTCCAAGGTGAATTTTGACACGGGGCGAACTTAAACGGTTACTTTTAGCAGGTTCGAGAGCACGGTTTTTTTAAATAGATGTTTTGATTTTTGAAAGAAACAGAGAAAATTCTAATCAACAATGATTTAGATAAACATATACAGGCAAAAACTAACGATAGACAAATCCGACGTTTTGGCAACATCTTGGCGCCATTGTCAAGGGAAACTAATTAAATATGCGATTTCAAGAGTAACTAAGAGTTCAGAGTTACTAATTTGCATAAGTTAGACAAA